ATAGATAGATAGATAGATAGATAGATAGATAGATAGATAGATAGATAGATAGATAGATAGATAGATAGATAGATAGACAGACACACATTTGTAGTTTGCACATATATTTTCTTGGGCAAAATTTCATCAAGCTATTTGTGCAAATTTTCTCAGAGAAGATTTTTTTTAAAAAAAGTCCTCTCACTTCACAAAAACAGAATGGGGAAGATAATCTGCATTATCTTATTTGTAAGAGCAACACACCACAACATTTGCATCCTAAAGCCAATTTCGCAGAGTCTGGAAGAGCAACCAATATATTTGGCAAAAGGAAATAACTTCGGATTTCACGCACTGATGTCTCAAGAGCGCGCAGCTGCTTTTCCAGTCTCCCTGTGCCTGCTGCCTCTCCAGATTTCTCAACCATGAACGAAGAGGAGGAGGCAAGTCCCCCTTCCTTACCCCAGCCGAAGAGAACGAGCCACCAGAAGTAGCGTCTTCCGTGGGGAAAAGACGAGAGCAGCAAGCAGTTGAGATACAGAGCCTCCACCAACAGCCACATGAAGTTGGTCATCGTGAAGAAGTGACAGAAAACCATAGAGATCTTGCACTCTGTCTGAAGAAGAGGAAACACGAAGCTATAAGTTCAGGCGGTTCAGTCACAGGACAATCTCTTTGCATGAAAAAAATGATTTCTGAACGTCACGATCGAGATCCTTCCAACCAGTGTGACTCAAAGCAATCTAGATTCTTGGGGGTCCCTCGTCTCTCTGTCCAACTGGGTCTCTACCCGCTTTCTCTGACCTGCAGCTCTCCACATATGACAGCTCCCATCATCCCCAGCCACTACAACCACAGACACACCGCAGGAGATCACCCAGTTCGTCAGGCTGGTTTGCTTCGTGTGTCGGTGGAGACTGAACCCCGTCAAGGCTGGGTTAGGGAAGCGAGAACATCTCTCAGAATAAGAGATGGGTGGAGGAACCAGATGAACTTGACTGGCAATTAGGGACAGATTAACATATTTTTTTAACCTCAAGCTCTTTCTCTCTGAACAACAAAATTCGCAAATTTCGTTAAATTCTTCAAAAACAAACATCTTTCCTATTCGCTCTGGGACATAGTGCAGTTATTGTTTTATCTCTTGGCTGTGCAAATATCCAAGATGAAGGACCCTTCCAGGAATACTTGATGACGTTCCCCTCTGGCAATCTGAACTAAGCACTAATGTTATCCCTAAAAGACATCAAAACGAATTTAATGTTCTCATTAAAGACCCAAGGATGAAAATCCAACTTTTAAAGGGGGTGTGTGGGGGGCGATTTATTTATATGTTTGTTTGATTCATAGACAGCCTTTCTCCCGATAAGGAGATTCAAGGCGGCTCGCAATATTAAAAAGAAGAGAATTAAAAACATAATAAGTTAAACATTAAAAATACCAATTTAAACTATAGGCTAATTAAAAGAATATGTAAAACAGGTAAACATGAAAACTGGCTTAACTTTAAAAAGGCATTCAGAGACTCAGTTACGATTGTATAACTATGGGAAATGATCATACTGTGGAAATGCTGCAATCTTCCATGTTTTCAGTCTGGAAGAGAACCGCATCCTTAATGAAGACAGAAATGGCCTTCAGGATGAAGGTGATAAACAGCTGGATATGAATATAGTTTCTCGGGCAACGGAGTCTCCTGCAGAGAGAAGAGAACAAGCCATTAGGAGACATCCTGGTGGTTATCTCTCAACTACAGCGTGTTGATAACTGGACTGGCCTACCTTACAACGTTGTTGGAACCCATCGATGAATAGCAATTTGTCAAAGCACTGTCATTAATAGATTGCAATTATGCTTTATCCTTATTTCCAGCTATGAATATAACAGGGACTTAAGAGAGGGCTTCTTCTGTGGCTGGTCCCGGATTATGGAGCATCCTTTCTCACAGGAGGTACACTTTATTTATTGGTTTTATAACTGCATTTTCCCATGTATAAGACTATACTTTTGTCTAAAATCTTTAGACTAAAAATTGAGGGTTGTCTTATACACGGAACTAAACTGAAGAGAGAACAAAAACAAGTGGAGGGGAAAGCAGGGATCAAAGCGATCCTGTAGCACTTTGATCCCTTTCCCCCTCCACTTGCTAAGAAATTAAGATTTCTTAATTTGGATTAGAAAAGTGGGGGCGTCTTATAAATGGGAACGTCGTATACACGAAAAAATACAGTAATGTATTCAGTTATTATTTTATCTATTACTTTAATTTATATACCCCTCCATTCGTTCCGAAGCACTGTTTGGGGCAGTTACAGACCGTTAAAATAAAATGACAGCAAAGAAAATACTAAAATCACACAAATAGTAAAATATTAATCTAAAAATCAACAGCATAGCCAATTTTCCGCCTGAAATGGAAAACAGGAGTCGGTGTGAAAGAGCTCCCTGAAAAGTAGTGTTTTTAACAGCACCTTAAATGAGTAAAAGGAGGAGGACTGGCGTTGCTTCTCTGGGAGTTGATTCCATAACGTAGGGGCCACCACCAAGAAGACCCTGTACTCTAGTCGAAAATGGCTGGGCTTCTTCTATCCCACACTGATTAGTGCTAAACATGACTCTGGCTGGTTTATATTCACCGTAATATACAACAAATCATAAAGGTGATTAGTGCTAAACATGACTCTGGCTGGTTTATATTCAGAGCGAAATAACCGTAATATGCAACAAATCATAAAGTTAGTAAGTGACAAACCCCACAAGCAGCTTTCCAATAAATTAATAAAATCCCAATGACCAGTGAAAAAGGCAGTCTGATGATAGTTAGTCATACAACTTTAAGGGTGGATGCTGTCAAAAGCTTTGGGAAAAAGCCTTGTTTTGAGCATCCTCTTGATGGCTGTGAGGGAAGAGGTCAGGTGTAGCTCCATTGGGAGCCCATTCGAACAGGATGGGGCCACAACTGAGAAGGCCCTGTTTCTGGTTGATGACCTCCTGGCCTTCCTCGGCGTGGCAACCTCAGGGAGCATGGCCCGAGGGGAATGGGTGACAGGGGTGGACCTTTCCAGTTCCCCCCTTCCCTCCCTTCCTTCTGAAAACAAACCACTCTGGATTAGCTTTCTGAAAGTCAGCAATCAGTCAAGACGGGTGGTGGTGGTTATTTTTAAACATCTGATTTATAGTTTCAAAAAACGGTCTATTGTAAATTTTTCATTGGGATGCTTTTAATGATGTGTGGCTTTTAGATGCTTTTGTGTACTGCCTGGGGCCCTGCTGGAGGAGGAAGGTGGGATAAAAATCATAGTAAGTAAAGAAACATACCATATTTTCCCTAAAATAAGACAGGGTCTTATATTAATTTTTGCCCCCCAAAAACGCATTAGGGCTTATTTTTGGGGTAGGGTTTATACGACGAGCAATCCTGAAAAATCCTACTAGGGCTTATTTTCAGGCTAGGTCTTATTTTCAGGGAAACAGGGTATAACCACAGATTTCTCATCCTTGACAAGAAAGGGTATCTTAGGACTACAAGATACTTCTTTTTTTAAAAAAAGAGAGCAACTGCTGAGAGATTTTTTCTGCTTAATGCAAGAGCAAAAAGACCAGCAATATTTCTTTAATCAGCAACAACATTTGCAAGAAAAAATGGAAAGGGAACTATTTTTACAGATTCTTCACCAAAAAACAATTAAAAATTCCCGAAATGCCGGGGGGAAAAAGACACAAAAATCTGCATCATCTTCCCCAACAGGGAGAAAATGTTAGTAATTTCTCTTTCTCATCGGTGAAAATGAAAGAAGTGATGATTTGCACGTCTGTTTCAGGCAGAATGGAATTTATTTGGGGGAAAGGATGCTCCGAAGAGGAAGAAGGAGATGGGGAAGATAAAAACATTAAGCCCTCTCAAGAACAACCTCCATTAGTCGTTCTATCAGGCTAAGGAACCTCATCACATCTACTAAAAGCCTCATCTACTTCTCACCGAATTGTCTCCCCCTCCCAGAATTCTGCTTTTTAGGCTCTTACGAACCTACCTGAACGCGACAAGGATTGTGATGGCCATTGCAAGAGAGGTAGTAGAGATGCTGTAACCCACCGTGTAGATGGTTTTGATGGTGGACCAGTAGGAGAGCTGCAACAGACACAAAATAAGCCCGTGAACTAAGAAGGCAGCAGGAAGAAAAAAAAGATGCATTGACTCCATAAAGCAGGCTTGTCCAACCTGCGGCCCGAGGGCCGCATGCGGCCCAGGTCGGCTCATAATGCGCCCCAGTGCAATTTTTTATTTTAAAAGAAATTCCAAAGTTTCAAGTTACACTGCCGGCGCTTGCTGCTGGAATGCGGTCAGGGCACGTCACAACGGTAGGGGGGGAAAGAGGGAAGGAAGGAGCAGGAGGGGAGCGGAGAGTGGGGCTGCATGACTGCATTGCGCTGTCCCTGTCAATAGGTGGACCCCCTTCCTGGCCCCATAAAGCCGCCGGAGTCGAAGCTGGCGGCCTCTGCTGTCTGAGATCGCAGCTGCCGGTAAGCGCGCTTCGAGCGGGGCTGTGGAGGACGGCTAGGGCTGCCCCCCCATGCAGCCCAAACCAAATTTATGTGCGGCCGAAACCAAATGTCCATCTTCTAATGTGGCCCAGGGAAAGTGAAAGGTTGGACACCCCTGCCATAAAGGATGCTATGGCCATTGAGCTTGCAAGACCATAGTTGGGTTATTAGCAACAGGACCTTTTGGGCGGGTCACTCCTTCATAGAGTTGACGTGAGTCAGAAATAACATGACCCCACAACATTGGGACCTGGCAAGCAGACCGTAGATTCTCGCCTTGAGCAGGGGGCTGGACTCGATGGCCTTAGAGGCCCCTTCCAACTCCATTATTTTATCGTACTCTGAATAGCCAACAAGGCGCTCTTGAAAGCCTGTATAGAATAGGTCAGAGGTTCCAAGATAGGAACGCGCCGGAGCACGGCCTCTCTTAGAAGCCAAAACAACATCTGTGTTGTTCACTAGCAGGGTAGCCAATGTGGTCCACCAGAACTTTGGAAACCAAAATGGCCATCTAGTGACCCAGAGAACATTGATCTGTGGCCCTTCAAAGGCATGTGTCCCCATGAGACATCCTCTCTCTTCTTTTTTTCTCTCTGTCTCTCGCTTCCTTTTTTAAATCTCAACCCACCATCAAATGGTGTATGTTCCCCGAATAAGTGGGGAGATGATTCCTTCACTCACCCCAAACATGCCAGCCCAATGCACAACTGGTCAATGGTAATGAGCCCTCAAGACCTCACCTTTGGGGGCACAACGCTTAGCCACCAAATGTCGTGCCCTTTGATCGCCAGACGAAGAGAGTCCTCTTTCGGCCTCCTTCCTCTAATCTCAAGGTGGGGTGTTTATAGGAACAGGGGTTTTGGATTTTCTGGACTACAGAGACCATACTTCTCCTTCATGGGAGTTCTACCTACCTTGGAGACAACGTGGAACACCTAAACACGATCCATCTAGAAAACTTGGAAGCTTAGCTAGGCCTAGGGTTGCCCAAGCGTTGGGCTCAGGAAGAAAGCTCCCGGCTAGCCCCGGGGCAGGAACTCGATGCTTAGGGGGCACTAGAACTTGCTAAGCCTCAGAATCTTCTGATTTAGGCCTTCCTTCCAGGTGCATCGCATTTAGGTGTTTGTAAAGTAGTCTGTACAGCAGGTAGAACTCCCAGAACAGAGAATTACAGTATTTGCAGTCAGGAAAACCCAAAATCCCTATCCCTCGTTGTTTTCATCACTCATGTAGCTCTACTCACTTCACTGAGAGTCACCTCATCTTCCATTGGGCAAGCGATGGCATACGGTGGAAATGGCTCGGACCAGCCTTGAGCTGTGCAGCTTCTCTTAATCGTGCCTAGTTTTTTTGGGGGGGGAGGGAAGAGTCAACAGATCAAATTAATTTCTGATTTCCAGATAGCTGTTTTTTTGGTTTTGTCACTGTGATTCGGGGCATGGATTTTTCTTTTCCTTTTTAAATAACGTAATGAAAGGGGGAAGCAATGCATAATGGAATAGCAGTACACGGATGTTCTGTGTCCCACTGCATACGTATCTTCACGCAGATTCTGAGAGCCTGGGAAAGGTACATTTTGGACTACAGTTCCCAAAATCCCCCAAACAGCTAGGGAGGGACCTTTCTGAGCTGGGGTGGCTGTCCATCTGTTCAGCACAAACCACCTCTGGTTTCAAAGACCAGCCCCTCCTCTTAGCTGACCATTGTGCCTTTCCCTCTTTTCCTCCTCTGTTGAAGTCAGTCACGCTTGTTCATTTGCTGTTGATCTGTTCACAACCGTAAGTAATGGAACATTTCATTCTTTTTCCTACAAATGTCTCAGAGTGAGTCATCGAGACCCTAAGCGCCAGTGAATGAAAAGGGTTGGACTACATGGGGAACTGGTAGCTATTATTCCCTGTGAGTTCCTGTACGTTTACTGCACAGTACAGAGGAATTAGACCAGAAATTCAAAACTTTGCAGTGCTTTCTGCGTTCCATCAGTGTAGCGTATTGCCCGGACATCACGACAAGGGCCGACCGCAAGCACAACCCTCCTCACCTGGCTGCTTTGTGAAGTGAAGGAGAATCCCCGGGCAGGTAAAAGTGAGCGTTTGTCCCGGACTCGTCTCAGGCCAGCACAGTAACCGGTCCCATATTCTCTTGCAACCTGATATGAGAAGACAATTGCCAGACGCTGAGTTCCGATTTCCACCTGACTCCTTTGTCACAACAGCTCTGCCAGCTATTCGACTTCATGACGTGTAAACCCCTACACAGCGTAGAGGTTTTAAAGGCTGCATTTGCCTACAGTACATATATGAATCTGTTGTGTGCTTGAAACCAATCCCCTGCAGATACCACAGTCCTACTGGGTATGGAAATGAAGGCTCTGTGTGTGTAAGTGGGTGTGTGTGGACACAAGTGTGCATGTAGACCTCTACAGATCCATCAGTGTTAGCCACCCCTCTCTCTTGACCCTTCAGCGCTCCTGGGGTACCTGCAGTTTCATTGCCGTGCTGGTGAATCTGCCTTAGACAATCCGTTTCGTTTTTCTTCCATTCTATCAGGGAATCACATTCCGGATGAGATTGTCCAAGCACCTGGAACCAGAAAGGGATCAAGAGCCTGGGGATAGCTTACATTTCTTTGGTTTGTGTACTTCACACAATCAAGAGATAAGCGACATTATGCCCCATATTTGCAACAAAAGATATATCAAAAAAGAGCATTTTATGTAACACATCAAAAAAAATTCTTCATTTCTATCTATCTATCTAGCTAGCTATAAGAAAAGATATATCAGAAAAGAACATTTTGTGTAATAAATCAACACGGTTTTTAGATAGATAGATAGATAGATAGATAGATAGATAGATAGATAGATAGATAGATAGATAGATAGATAGATAGATAGATAGATAGATAGATAGATAGATAGATAGATAGATAGATAGATAGATACCGTGTTTCCCCAAAATTAAGACAGGGACTTATATTAATTTTTGCTCCCAAAAACGCATTAGGACTTATTTTCAGGGAATTCTTTTTTTCATGCACAACCAACTACGTTGATTCAAAGACAGTCATATCATCTTCTGGTTGCTGCACAAGGGTGTAGGGTGGGGTTTCACTTAGTTAGTTAGGCATCCTTCAGTCTCGAAAGACTATGGTAATGTGCTCTGTATGGAGGACTTGGAACAGCGTCTAGTGTGGCTGAGGAGGCCAATTCGAGAATGACAATCTCTTCCACACTGAAGACAAAGACAATCTGTCCTCTGTCCGGCACCCTGGTTTTGCTGCTTTTGTGACTTCCTCTTTGCCTCAGCCTGCTGGACAAGGGTCTCTTCGAATTGGGAGAGGCCGTGATGCACCGCCTGCCTCCAGGCCGAACGCTCAGAGGTCAAGGTTTCCCATCTGTTGAGGTCCATTCCTAAGGCCTTCAGATCCCGCTTGCAGATCTCCTTGTATCGCAGCTGTGGGCTCCCTCTGGGGCGATTTCCCTGCACTAATTCTCTATACAGGAGATCTTTTGGAATCCGACCATCAGCCATTCTCACAACGTGCCCAAGCCAACGTAGACGTCGCTGTTTCAGTAATGTGTTCATGCTGAAAATTCCAGCTCGTTCTAGGTCTACTCTATTTGGAACGCATATGGAAGGTGTTCAGCTTCCTCTCCTGCCGTGCACAAAGGGTCCAGGACTCACTGCAGTACAGGAGTGTGCTTAGGACACAGTTTCACTTAACTGGTACTTATTTGGGGGATAGGGCTTATATGACGACCATCCTGAAAAATCATTCTAGGGCTTATTTTCAGTTTAGGTCTTATTTTCAGGAAAACAGGATAGATAGATAAAATCTTTGTTGATGTGTTACATAAAATGCTCTTTTTTGATATATATGAGATACACTTCTCCCCCTCAAATAATATTCGTCTAATTACAAAGAAGAAACATTTCTGGAAATCTTATGTACAAGGACCATAACGCAGTAAAATAAAACCTCGCGGTGACTTCTCCCGATTATTCCCTTGCATCGAAGCGTTTCCAACAAAACTGCTCCCTTGTGATCAGATGAACTATCCCTTCAGAAATGCATAAATCTGCATTTAAAGACAACACTTTCTTGGAAAGAAACATAATTTCCGCCTCTGCTAGTCTGTTTCAAAATAAGCCCTGTATAAATAGCAGAGATGAATATAGTGCTAAATCCTCCTTTCCGTCTCTACGCTCTCCTCTTTTTTTCGTACCTGTTTACGGCAGGGTATCACCACCTGTGGATCTGCACTATTTAAGGGAGGAAAAAAAACAAAAACAAGCTCGGAGAGATCAAAACATGGCAAAACAAAACAGCTGGCCAGGTTATTCCGCTCAGATGATCTCCACACCAAAAGTATGAATATTCAGCAAAAGTTTCAAAATCGTTTCCTTGTTTATCTTGGAGTCGCACCGTCGGCAGAAGGCAACCCTTGCCTTCTGCCTTCTACGCACAGCCTTCCAGCACCCTGCATCATGAGCATGTTATTTTATGTAAGAGTACATAACACCAAATGTCATTTGGTAAGCTTACACCCGGACCCTGATTCCTTTGAATTTCTGATCAACAAGCTAAATATGACCCAACAGTACAATGCGGCTACCCCCTCCCCCAAAAAATGCTATTTTAGGCTGCATTAACAGAAGCACCATCTCCATGTCATGTGAGGTGCTACTCCCGTTCTTTTTAGCACTGGTTAGGCCTCAACTAACCACCAGCACCACCTCATTGTGGTGCTGGAGGCGACTCTTGAGAGTCCCCTGGACTGCAAGGAGAACAAACCATTCCATTTTGAAGGAAATCAACCCTGAGTGCTCACTGGAAGGACAGATCCTGAAGCTGAGGCTCCAATACTTTGGCCATCTCATGAGAAGAGAAGACTCCCTGGAAAAGACCCTGATGTTGGGGAAGTATGAAGGCAAGAGGAGAAGGGGACGACAGTGGATGAGATGGTTGGACAGGGTCATTGAAGTAACCAACATGAATTTGGCACAACTCTGGGAGGCAGTGGAAGACAGGAGGGCCTGCCATGCTCTGGTCCGTGGGGTCACGAAGAGTCGGACATGACTTAATGACTAAACAACAACAACAAGTCCTCATCTACATGAATAAATGACTAAACAACAACAACAAGGCCACATCTAGATGACTGTGTCCAGTTCTGGACGCCACACTTCAAGAAGGAGGCCAACAAACTGGAGTAAGTTCAGAAGAGGGCAACCAGGAGGATCAGAGGGTTGGAAACCAAGCCCTAAGACTGGGCATGTTTAGCATTGCGAAAGAAAACTCTGGAGAGATAGGAGAGCACCTGAAAGGCCATCCTACAGAGGAGGGGCAGGATCTGTTCTCGATCATCCCAGAGTTCAGGACATGCAACAATCAACTCAAGTTACAGGAAACCAGATTATGGTTAAATATCAGGGGGGAAAAACTTCCTAAGTGTTAGAGCAGTACGACAGTGGAACCAACCACCTCAAGAGGTGTTGAGCGCTCCAGCGCGGGAGGCATTCAAGAGAACATGGGACCACCCTCTGTCAGATCTGCTTTGACTTGGGATTCCTGCCCTGAGCAGGCGGCTGGACGTGATGGCCTTCTAGACCCCTTCCAACTCCATTATCCTGTAATTCTTTGATTCCATAACTCTCTTCCACCCTCTCCTGCTTAAGGCTGCTGTACTTCCATTGTCCCCTCCATTAATTTCCTTTTCTTTCCATGTTTTACTTCCTTATTCCGCAAACCACAGACAAGGTCATGCTGACCGCGCAAGCTTTCTACAGGAAGGGTGGTCAGATTTGCATGCTAGCTTTCTTAAAAAAAATGGTGGACCCAAAAATCCAGCTTGGGCAAAAATCAGGGTCAGGCTGTTGTGGATTTTCCCCAAGGATGTGGCACGTCTTTGGGTCCGAGACCTGGTTTTTGCTACCAAGTCCCGAGTCTCAAGTCCCTATTAAAAGCAAGCTTTTCCCCCACTTGAAAAGAATCACAAGTCAAAACTGAATAGCTATATTTTAAAAAAAAATTGAATCCAAGAAGTCGAGCTGCCGGTCCGCCTGGACAGCGGGCCCCGTGACTCGTGTACCCCTTCCTGATGTCCCCCATACATCCATGTGATCACCAGGAAATGGACCACTCCGGATGGCTCCACCAGCAGCCCAAACTGCGATCTGTTTCCCCATATGATCGCACCTTCACACTCTGGGAAAGCTCCCACAAGCCCCCTTTAAAACAAGGTATCAAGCCGCCAAAGTGGCTCAGATCTGTTCTAGTTTCTTCCCTCCAGGCTGGGACATCCACATGACCTTTCCTTCGATTTCCTCCCCTGCCGTTTACCCTAAACAGCAAATGGAACAAGACGTGCACCCCTGCATCAGTTCTGCAGGTCATGTTTTCCAATGTACATGCACGTAGGCAGCCCCCCCCCAAAGGCTGCATTTTCCAGCTGTGGAAGACTTATTTGCATCCCCTCCTCACCAATTGACCGGCTGCTTGGCGGGCGACTCCATCCCCACGCCCTGTATTTGTCAGGGGGTTGTTTACAAAGCGGTCAGAAGCCTCAGAGAGGTCTCAAAACCGGGCAGTGGTGGAAGCAGAAGAGGAGCAAAGAGGATCTGCAACAAAATGTTGCAACGTAAAATAGCAAGAGCTGGTCAGGTCTGTTGAAAACAGGACATGGGGGAGATCGCTCCTCCACGAGGTCGCCAGAAGTCAGAGGTGACTCGACAGCACCTAACCACTGAGAATTAAGTCCTATTGCATGAAAAGAAGACATACAGTCTGACTTCAAATGCTTGGAATGTTAAAAGATAATAACAACAACAGCCACTCACTTAAAACTAGTAAAGTGTTTTTAAAAATGCCTGCATCCCCAATACAGGCTTTTCGGTTCATAAGTTGCCCTGTTGTCAAAAATGTTATTTAGAAGGGAAAGGTCTTTGCCTCTGGCAAGGGAATCATGCTCTGCTTCAAAAATCAGATCACGGTGGGGCCAAAGGTTTGTATACTTCTCTTATACGGAAGCGGAGTTCCTGCAGGGTGCAAGCAGGAAATCATTAGCTTATCCGTATCCCCAGTCAACGGTGGAAAACGAGACTTAATACATTTTGTTTTGATCGATTTTTGATGTCTGGAAAGAAAGAATTCCTGGTTTGGGGGGGCACATAAGAGGAGAACCAAGAAGAATATATTTTCTCAGGAGATTCTTTGGCAACAAGGTCTTTCCACACCCAACTGTTTTTGGATTCCACCTCTCTTTAAATCTCTCTTGCATTGTCCATTTCATCTATTGATGGCCCAAGACCGATGTCCAGGTCAAACCCTCAGCCAAAGGAGCAGCCGAAAGAACCAGGGATCGCAAACAAGGAAAAAAATCCAAGCATGATACGGTGCTAAACCACACTGAAGCTGACACATTCCAAAAGTTTGTGTTTTTTTCAGAAGTTCCTATTCTACCAAAATTTCTAGATTCAAGTTAAAATCAGAGCCGAAAATGCAAAGGCTTCTTGATTTTAGTTGTTCCCATGGAAAGCCAAGTTAGAACAAAAAATGCCTCCAACATTTGTCAGAATGTCAAAATGAGATACATGGACTCTGACCTGTGGTTTAGCACCGTATCATGCTGTTCCCAATTTTATCCTCTGCAGCATTTGTCAGAATGTCAAAATGAGATACATAGACTCTGACCTGTTCCCAATTTTATCCTCTGCAAATTTGCCTCTCAGATTTATCTGGGGGACATTCTAGAAGAAAATGTTGAGCCATGAATTTTCCAGCACTGTCACAGTTCCTGGGATGAAACTGAAGCAAGAGGAGGGTTCTGTTTTTGCATTTCGCCGAACTCATGTGCTCAAGGATTGCGTCCTCCCAAATTGGGAGAAAAACTCATTCTTCTGGAGCCCATAAGAGAGGCAAATTCGGTAGAGAAGTTTGATCATGTTTCCAACCCTTGCATTAATTTCTGAGATACCGTCTACCTTTGCTGGCACAGGAATCGTTCTTGCGGAGAGTCAGACAGTCCATCAATCCTGGAGGGTGTTGTGGCCAAATAGAAGCAAAGATCCAAAATTGGAGGTGCAAATTGTTCCTGGTCTTAGGTAGAAATTCTCATGATCAAATTTGGATTTTTCTGCCTACAAAACACACATTCTACCACTTCATCTAAGCAAAGATCCAAAATTGGAGGTGCAAATCGTTCCTGGTCTTAGGTGGAAATTCTCAAGACCAAATTTGGATTTTTTTGCCTACAAAACACACATTCTACCACTTAATCTTCTCTTAGTAAAAGTAAAGTTTCCCCATGACATATAGACCAGTCGTGTCCGACTCAAGGGTGCGGTGCTCATCCCCATCTCCAAGCTGTAGTGCCAGCGTTTGTCCGAAGACAGTTTCTGTGGTCACGTGGCCAGCGCGACTAGACACGGAACACCATGACCTTCCCACCAAGGTGGTCCCTATTTATCGACTCGCATTTATATGCTTTCAAACTGCTAGGTTGGCAGGAGCTGGGACAAGCGATGAGATCTCACTCTATCGCATGGGTCCGATCTTACAATTGTTTGGTTTTCTGACCTTGCAGCACAGAGGCTTCTGCGGTTTAACCGGCAGCGCCACCATATCCCTATTAGAGGCTTCTGCGGTTTAACCTGCAGCACCCTATTGCCACCATGTCCCTAATTTTCCTTTACAGGCAGTATTTTATAAGCAAAACTCAACCAAGCTAGGTGCTCAAGCATCATACTCTCTATCCCAATAAAATCGTCCTATCTGATCATTAATCCAGAGCAAGCTGTTAAGAGGTCCTGCCTCTCCCCCCTTTCTTTTTCCACATTTCCATTTGTTTCTCTTTTCACAAGCACTTCCGAGAAACGCAACCGGCGGCCACGGCTGCCTAGCTTTCATACAGCGAAAACATTCGCTACCGAGCGGCTTGATTTGAAAAGAAAGCTGGTCGCAGACCGGACCGCTCAGCCCCTGCCTGAGCATCTTTGGAGAAACCAGCATGCCTACTAGAAAGATGACATACACAACCGCCTCCCGCTTAGCCAAAGTGGACAGATGTGCAAAAGCAACGCAGGTGGATCGGATGAAGTGTTTACTTACGAGGGATGGCAAAGCCAGCCAAAGGAAGAGCCGGTAGTCCCGCAGACTCCAGGAACTCATGGTACAAAGGTAGAGTAACATCCTACTTGGAAAATTGATCTTGGTCCTCCTCTCGGCGGCTGATCGAAAGCACTGGCTTCCCGGCACACACAGAGCCAACGCTCTTGCTGGACAGGAGAGTCTCTGTATTGCACTGGGAGAGGTTCAATCCTGTATAAACAGGTCTCGAGGCTGTGATTGCCTCGTCTCCCACCTGTGCGCCTGGGCTGGAGCGATGTTCCCAGAAATCTGCCAGGAGCTGCTAAAGAGAACCAGTTCGTCCCTCCGAAGCAGCATGATGAATAATGCTCACATGTGGGATGGGCAGAGCGGGGTGAGAGAACCGAGCTCCCTGAAATCAAGGCAAACCTGCATGAGGCATGCGCAGGGCGCAAGGGGAGTAGGCAGCTGTTTGTTCTGGCTACCTGAGGGTCTTTTCGATGTAGCCGTGTTAGGCTTGAACTGCCAACACTGTGGTTCACATCCTGATTGACTGGAGACCTCAACAGTCTTTTGCTATCTTTCATGTCAGACTTCCAGCATTATATCTCAGGATGAACCGATTTCTCTGAGTTTTACACATTTTCTTTCTTTCTTTCTTTCTTTCTTTCTTTCTTTCTTTCTTTCTTTCTTTCTTTCTTTCTTTCTTCCTTCCTTCCTTCCTTCCTTCCTTCCTTCCTTCCTTCCTTCCTTCCTT